TCACCCAGGCTGGAGGACCGTGGCAGGATCACAGCTCACCGCAGCCTCGACCTCCTGGGCTCCGACGATCCTCCCGCCTCGGCCTTCCAACGAGCCGGGACTCTGGGCGCGTGCCACCACACCCGGCTCGTTTTCCAAATTTGTACCGAGGCCAGGCGCAGTGGCTCGATCCTATAATCCCAGCGCTTCGGGAGGCCGAGGCGAGAGGGGTGACTGAGCTCGGGGGTTCCAGGCCCGCCTGGGCCACTTGGCGAGGCCTCGTCTCCACGATAAATCACAGAAACGCGCCAGGAGGGGAGGCATGATCTGTCTTTCCAGCTCCTTGGCAGGCTGAGGCGGAAGGACGGCCGGGGCCCGGCGGGTCGAGGCGGCGGTCGAGCGTGCCACCGCCCTCCGGCCTGGATGGGAGAGTGAGGCGCTGGCTCAAAAAACCCAAAATTTCTCTTTTTATAGAGATGAGATCTTGCGACGTTGCCCAGTCTGGTCTCGACCTCCTGGGCTCAGGGGATCCTCCCACCTTGGCCTCCCAAAGTGCTGGGATGGCAGGTGTGAGCCACCACGCCCGGCCAAAAATCCGGCTTTGGCTGTGTTTATTTCCATGGGATTTCCTATCCATTGCAAGAGAGCCTGGCTCTCCGTGCAGGCGGCGAGTGGCGGTCTGAAATGTCCTGACAAAGCATCTTTACGAAGCGGGCTTCCATATTTCCTTGGGGTCGACAAAGGGCGTCCATGTCGGCGGCCCAGAACACACCACGAGAAAGCAGTGGACGCCGCCAGCCCCGCCTAGCTCTCCTGGCCCGGCGTCTGACGGCGAAGCAACCGTTTCTAGGCGCCCCAGGAGTGAGTGAAGAGAGTTTCGAACCCCCCCCGCCCCCTGCCTTACCAGGACGAGCTCCTTGGCTCTGGGGAGCGGGGATCCCAGGCTGGAGGCCAAAGACGCCGGACTGTCCACGAGGTCCCGACGGGCGGACACGCAGATGGGCCCCTTGCCACCGGGGGTGGTGGCAGGGCTGGGGGGCTCGGAGGGCTGGTCCTGGGTTCCAAGCGGGAGGACGTGGGGGGGAAGGAGAGTCCCGTCTGCCCTCCTTCTGCCCCGGCCTCTAGACCCGGCGCCTACGACCCCCCCCGGGCACGCGGGAGACCCTTGGCGCCTCAGTTTACTCGTCTGTAAAACGGGCTTCACACCCAAACGCCCCCCGCGCAGACGCTCCAGACCACCCGCCCCGGCTCCCGCGCTCACCTCGTCCACCACCAGGTTGTACTCGCTCTTGTCTTCCTCGCTGTCCTGGGGGGAG